TTGGGAGCAGTTAGAGCGCGAGTTTCTTAACCGTTTTTACAGCACTCGTCGCGTGGTTAGCATGATTGAACTCACTAATGCACGTCAATGGAAGGAAGAGCCTGTCATCGACTACATTCATTGGTGGAGAAACCTTAGCCTCAACTATAGAGATCGGCTCACCGAAACTTCTGCGCTAGACATGTGTATTCAAGGGATGCATTGGGGACTATGCTATATTCTACAAGGCATCAAACCAAAGTCTTTTGAAGAATTGGCTACTCGTGCACACGATATGGAACTTAGCATTGCGACGGCTGAAAGTTCATTATTACCTATGCAAGAGCATAAAATAAATAAGCCTGAAGGTCGTAGATTCGGAAAGAGCACTCTAAAAGTCGAGGGAAAGCAATCTTTAGTAGTTAACTCAGCTACTGTAAAGGTACCAACTGGAGTTAAGAGGATGATCATGCAACGCCGACTACTTTTCAAAAGGGTGAAAGAAAGAAACCATCCTTGAAAGAGCGATAAGAAAAAGTGTATCCATTCCCCGACTCAGACATATCTAGGATGTTGGATGATCTGCTTGAGGCAAATATCATTGAGTTGCCAGAAGTGAAACGTCTTGAAGAAGCAAACCAACTAGATAATCCGAATTATTGCAAATATCATCGCTTAATCAGTCATCCTATAGAAAAGTGTTTTGTGTTGAAAGACAAGATCATGAGGCTACACGAGAATAGAGATATTGTCTTTGATGATGAAATAGCAACCTCTAATATCATAACCATGGTCAATTTAGGACCATGTCAATCACTCCCTACAATAAGTTTCGGCTCCTTTGAACCTATAAGACTTGATGCCATTTTCCCGATGAGCTTCGCTGCATCCTCAAGTCTAACTCCATGCATAACCCTCACACCTCAAGTTGACAACTTGAAGCCTAATTCGTTTGAAAATTATGATGATGAAGGATGGACTTTAGTCACGCGTAAAAGAGGAAGAAAGAAGCACATGCAGATGACAAAGCCAACTAGAATAAGGATGTCAATGGTGAGGAAGCTAATTGATAAGCTGATACGTCAAAAGACTGAACGAAAGTCCATGCCAGCTAGAAAGGAGAGTTTTTCAATGCAAAGTCTAAGAAAGCCCGTTACACTGAATGAGTACATGCCAATAGAAATGAGAAGAGTTGAAAATGTACTTGTTACTTGCTATTAGGTTGATGAAGAGAAAACTCTTATTGAACCTGTCATGAAGGAAGGTTATGATGACTCTTCAAATTTATGTCACGGTGTATGCATAATAGAGATATCCTTCAGCGATGAAGACTTGTTACTTGGATCAAAACTCCATAACCAACCTCTTTTCATTAAAGGATATGTTGATGAAAAGATGGTGAATCATATCCTGGTGGATGATGGCTCAGCGGTCAATATACTACCTCTTAAGACTATGAAAGAGCTAGGGATTCCTACGGATGAACTTTTCCCAAGTCATCTGATGATTCAAGGTTTTAATCAAGGTGGGCAAAACGCCATCGGAAAGATAAGACTCGCAATGCACATGGAAGATATGGAATCTAATGCACTTTTCCATGTCATAAATGCCAAAACTACTTACAATATGCTGCTTAGGCGACCATGGATGCATGAAAATGGTATCATCTCCTCAACACTCCACCAGTGTTTTAAGTATTGTCGAGATGGAAAAATAAAAAAGATATTGGCAGACACCGACCCCTTCACCATAGCTGAAGCTCACTGTGACAATCCTTATATTCTATTTCAAGTCAAATGTGATTGAAGAGCTACGATCCCCACCTGACCATCTAGGAGAGGGAAGAATTGACTCCAAAAGCTCAAAAGGGAATAAGTCATCTGCAAATGAAAGGGTGTCTCAGCCAATGAGGAATTAAGGAAAAGAAAAGGTGGTAGAAAACTTTGTTAACAATAAACTACCACGTAAAGCCATAATACTCCGATATATCCTAGTATCAGCAAGAAAAGAGGGTCAATCTTCTTTTGCCAAGGATGAAGAGAAGATCAATAAGGGGCTTGAAAACTTGACCTTGCCAGCTACTAATCTCGCCTTGAACAAGGTCTCAAAACCTTTATTAAAAGGGTTCGTTCATCAAACCGAGTTGGTAGTGATAAATCCTAGAGGACTCCCTGATAAACGGGCGAATGGCTTTGATCCCAATGCTTACAAGCTTTTAGCCAAGGTTGGTTATAGTCGTGAGGACATCAATAAGTTAGCAAAGGATGGTGATACTACTCAACTTAAAGGTAAACAAGTTTCTATAAATACTAGAAAGGCATGGAGAGAGAAGAAAACTTATGGCAAAACTTTAAGGGCTGTCTTGGATATGAGTCTTCCACATCGCTGCATTTTCAGATTAATAAAGAAGCCTCACAATACATAAGTGCGAAAGAAGTGAAGGACAAACAAAAAAATCAGTTGGCACCTCTTAGAGCTTCAGTCTGGGATCGTCTTGGTGGAACTACAAGTCGTGCTCCTGTTTTTGCCAAGATTGGAACCCAAAATAATAGAAAGGCGCTAAAACGCACATCAGTCTTTGCAAGACTTGGACAATCCATGTCAAAAGATAACAAGCATACACTCGATCATCAATCAAGTTCGATGAGTGATTTAAAGGTTTTTCGTAGCAAAATACCTTCACGCATGAAGAGACAATGTGAATGGGTGGTGAGTGCTGAGGAGACATTGAAAGGAAAAACACGCACAATAGTGATGACAAACCCCTATAATGAAGAAAAGGAAGATGAAATAATGTGTCTCACTTCAAATCACATCACTATTGAAGAAGATGATAATGATAAGTTTGTCGTCGAAGAAGATGTTGAGGAAGCTCTGCCTTCCCTTGAATCAGAAAATAAGCCTACAATGGATGAACTTAAAGAGGTTAACTTGGGAACTGTTGAAAACCCACAACCAACATTTATCAATGCGAATTTATCACCTAAAGAGGAAGCAAATTGTATGGAACTTTTGATGGAGTATCGAGATGTCTTTGCTTGGTCCTATGATGAAATGCAAGGTTTAGACCCAAGGATTGCTGTTCACCAACTAGCAGTAAAAAATGGGGCTAGACCTGTAAAACAAACTCAGCGTTGCTTCCGTCCTGAACTCATATCACAAATTGAGGTTGAAGTCAATAAACTTATCCAGGTAGGTTTCATTCGTGAGCTTAAGTATCCTACATGGATTTCAAATATTGTGCCAGTAAAAAAGAAGAATGGCCAAATGCGTGTTTGCATGGATTTTCGAGACCTTAACAATGCTTGTTCCAAAGATGACTTTCCACTTCCAATTACCGAGATCATGGTCGATGCTACCACGGGTCATGGGAGATTAACCTTCATGGACGGTTCATCTGGCTATAATCAAATTTAAATGGCACCTGCAGATGAAAAGAAGATGGCTTCCGGACTTCGAAAGGGATATATTGCTATAAAGTTATGCCTTTTGGCTTAAAGAATGTAGGTGCCACTTATCAAAGGGCGATGCAAAAGATTTTTGATGACATGCTTCACCAATATGTTGAATGCTATGTTGACGACCTTGTGGTGAAATCATAAGAAAAAGAAAATCATTTGCAAGATCTTCGTCTGGTATTTGAATGATTACGTCGATTCCAGCTAAAAATGAACCCACTAAAATGCGCATTTGGTGTGTCATCAGGAAAATTCCTAGGGTTTATAGTTCAACATCGAGGGATTGAGATTGACTAGTCTAAGATTGAAGCCATTCTAAAAATGCCGGAGCCAAGTAACATCCATGAGTTGAAGAGTCTCCAAGGAAAGTTGGCCTATATACGGAGATTTATTTCTAACTTAGCGGGTCGATGTCAACCATTCACCCACTTAATGAAGAAGGATACGTCATTCTATTGAGATGAAGCTTGTACTAATGCCTTCAACAAGATAAAAAAATACTTGTTGAATTCGCCTGTTCTTCAAGCACCGGTACCGAGACACCCATTTATCCTCTATATTGCAGCTCAAATACGTTCCTTGGGGGTGTTGTTGGCGCAACAAAATGATGAAGGCAAGGAAAATGCTCTCTATTACCTTAGTAGGGCATTAAATGGGGCTGAACTGAATTATTCTCCAATAGAGAAGACATGTCTAGCATTAATGTTTGCAATAAAGAAGCTAAGACATTACCTCCAAGCACATTCAGTAAGACTAATCTCCCGAGCTGACCCTCTCAAGTACATCATCTCAAGACCAGTTTTATCAGGAAGATGGGTAAAATGGGCTTTATTGCTTCAATAATTTGAAATTGTCTACGTCTCGTAAAAGGTTATCAAGGGGCAAGCACTAGCTGATTTTCTCGCTGATCATCCTATTCCCGATGAATGGAAGTTCTCTGAAGACCTGCCTGATGAGGACGTTTTGTTTATTGAAATGTCAGAACCATGGAAAATGTTCTTTGATGGTGCAGCATGAAAAGATGGAGTCGGGGTTGGGGTTATATTCATCACACCAGAAGGAGAGGTCTTGCCTTTCTCCTTTTCACTTACTGAATGTTGTTCTAATAACATGGCCGAATATCAAGCCTTGATTCTTGGGTTGGAAATGGAAGTGAATATAAAGATGTCTCGCCTTAAAGTTTTTGGGGATTCTCAATTAGTCATCAGACAACTCCTCTCACTATATGAAGTCAAGAAGCTAGAGTTCATTCCATATCACAAGTATGCACTTAAACTGATAACATCACTTGATTGTGTCACTTTAGAACATGTGCCACTGACACGACTAAAAGGTTGATGTCTTCTCCCAAGTGTAGGAGCGTCGAAGTAATAAATAACCCGGCAAGAGCGGGGTCGAACCACAGGGAGGTTAATTGTACAAATTATAGACAACAATTATAAGCAACAATAATAACAATAATAACAACAACTATAACAATAACAACAACAACTATAATAATAATAATAATAATAATAGTAGTAGTAGTAGTAGTAGTAGTAGTAGTAGTAGTAGTAATAGTAGTAGTAATAATAATAATAATAATAAAGAAAGAGAAGAAGAAGAAGATGATGAGAACTTGGAGATGGAAAATTAATGTAAGGATTAAACAATAATAATAACAAATGTCAAGGTTAGAGGTTCCACTAATGCTATATCAAACAAGTATAGTATAAACTCTTATTATTGAATTGGAAACCACACACAAAGGAGGTTCCAATCAGATTATATATTGTTAACATGATTACATTAGTCATCTTATTCAATTAATGCTAATACTTGTAAATCTCGTCAAGCATTCATGATTATAACTTATGTTAACAACAAATCAAGTTCCTTTCATATCTCAGGTGTCGGTTATACCATACATTATGGGCTATGAAAGTGCCAAGCATTTGTTATACCAAGTGTTATACAACATAAATCAAGATTAGTCATTTAACAAACAAAGTATTAAAGAGTGAACAAGATAACAAATATAAAATATGTTAGTATCAAACATTAAAGTCCATATTAAGTTTACATTATACTTATTCTCACACCATTAGTGTAACCTTTTCACCTTGACATAATTAACTTAGCTAGACATAATGAAAGAAATAAAAATAGATAAACAAAATAAGAACATAAAAGTTAACTAAGTAAAGAAAAGGAAATGAAAGGTATAAACTTGATATTAATGAAAGCAAAGCATAAGCATTACAAAAAAATACAAAGAGAAAAAGGAAGAGCATGATCTTGATCTGGACACCAAGATGCCTAAATGCATGGCAAATGCCTCCTTTTATAGGCCAAAATTGGGAACTATTGATTTGATGACTAATTGATAAGTGGGTGGCCAACTTTTAACTTGGTGACAATCCTTATCTTCTCTTGTCTGCCCAAAACGTCATTGATAACGTCAAAATTGGAGCCAGGTAAAAACATAAAAG